AGCAGGGAGCCCGATGCGGGACTCGATCCCGGGACTCCAGGATCATGACCTGAGCCGAAGGCAGTCGCTTAACCAACTGAGCCACCCAGGCGCCCCAAAAGTTTTTAATTTTGATGAAGTTCAGTTTATCCATTTTTTGTTTGGTTGCTTGTGCTTTTGGTATCATATGTAAGAAACCACTGCTGAATCCAGGGTTATCAAGTTTTACCCCTGGTTTTCTTCTTAGATTTTTATAGTTCCAGCTCTTATATTTAGATATTTGATCCATATTAATTTTTATATGTGGTTTTATATGAGCTAAGGGTCTAAATTTGTGCTTTTACATATCCAGTTGTCCCAGCACTATTTGTTGGAAAAACTATTCTTTCCTCTATAAAAGGGTCTTAGCACCCTTGTTGAAAATAAGTTGGCCACAGATGTATGGATTTATTTCTAAAATCTTGATGCTCTTTCCTTGATTTATATCTCTGTCGTTATGTCAGTACCACACTGGTTTGATTGCTGTACCTTTGAGGTAAGTTTCAAAATTGGAAAGTGTGAATCTTCCAACTTAGGTAGTTACTTTTACTATAGTACTTTATCTCTTCATCACAGGGCTGTGAATTACTGTCTTTTTTCATTTCAGCCCAAAAATTCAGCCTCTAGCATTTTCTTACATGGCAGATTGGCTAGTGACAGACTCAGCTTTTATTTATCTGAGAATGTCTTAGTTTCTGCTTTATTTTTGAAGAATAGTTTTGCCAGATAAGGAATTCTTGGTTAATTTTTTTCTTTCTTTCTTTCAGCAGTTTAAATGTGTTACCCTGTTGCTTTCTGGCCTCCATGGTTTCTGATCTGAAATCAGCTATTAATCTTATTGATAATCCCTTGTATGTGACAAATCACTTTTTTGTCCTGCTTTCAAAATTCTCTTTGGGTTTTTAGTTTGAGTAGACTGTGTCTTGGTGTGGCTCTCTTTGAGTTTTTCCTACTTTGGAGTTTTTTTTTTTTTTAAAGATTTATTTATTTATTTGAGAGAGTGAGAATGAGAGAGAGTACATGAGAGCGGGGAGGGTCAGAGGGAGAAGCAGGCTCCCTGCTGAGCAGGGAGCCCGATGCGGGACTCCAGGATCATGACCTGAGCCAAAGGCAGTTGCTTAACCAACTGAGCCACCCAGGCGCCCTACTTTGGAGTTTCTTTAGCTTCTTTGATGTATAGATGCATGTATTCTGTCAAATTCGGGAAGTTTTGGACCATCACTTCTTCATATATCCCTATTGTCCCTTCTTCTCTTCTGGGACTCCCACAATGCATAGGTTAGTGTATTTGATGGTCCCTTAGGCTCTGTTAATTTTTCTTCATTCTATTTTCTTTCTTCTCAAAATGGTTAGTTTCATTTGACCTATCTACAAGTTTGTAGATTCTTGCTTTAACCTGCTCAGATCTGTTGTTTGAAACCCACTAGTGAATTTTTAATTTCAGTTAAACTTTTCAGCTTCGGAATTTTATTTATGGTAATTTCTGTCTCTTTATTAATAATCTCTGTTGAGACCTCATTTTCCTTGTTTCCTGTGGTTCTTGTTTATGGTTTCTTTTAGCTCTTTGAAGTATACTTAAGACAGTTGATTTAAAGTGTTTGTGAAGTCCAGTGTCTGTTCTTTTTCAGGAATAGGTTTTGTTATTTTTTTTTTTCCTGTGACTGGGTCATACATTTTTGTTTATTTGCAAGCCTCGTAATTTTTTGTGAAAACAGACTCTGAGAATTAAAAAAAAAAAAAGACTGTATTCTCGGTCAGATGTAGTCCCTGAGGTCTCTGTTCCCTAAGCATAGTACTGTGCTAATATTTTGACATTTTGAATGTTATCATGTGGCAATTACAGAAATCAGATTCTCCCTCTCCAGGGTTTGTTCTTCCTTATTGTGGGCTACAGTTGTCTGTTTGTTTAGTGACTTTTCCACAGTATTTTCACAAAGACTGTATTCCTTGGCACGTGTGGGAGCTGAAGTTTCTTTTCCATTATCTCAGCAGTTAGCCAGTGACCTGACAGAGATTTCCTTCAGTGCTTTGTGCCAAAAAAAGAAAGAAGAATGGAAAAATGAACAGAAAAGAAAAAATAATTCTCCAGGTCTTTGCAGATTGCCTCTGTGTTGAGTCACTCCTTATACACTTATTCATGCTGCTTACAGTTGTACTTTTAGCCTTTACCTCCTTGCTTGCACTGCACCTAAAGATTAGCAAGAAGTTACAGTTTATGGTCTTAGGTATTTTTCTGAGCATGCGCCCTGCTCTTGGTATGCATGTGGCTTTCTAAATTCTCCAGTGTTCACGGGAACTTTTCAGAACCTTTTATTCCCCCCAAATCTCACTCCCCAGCTTTTCTTTCCAGGCCTTTGGTGTGTCTGTTGCTTGCCCCAACTCTTTGTTTTTGCCTTTGTTCATTGACCTTTCAATGTTTTGACCTTCTCCACTGAACCACTTGCCCTGATAAGAGTGAAGCTCCTTGTGTTAGTCCTTTGGGGAAACTCCAGTCAAGTCAAAACAGAAAAACATAATTCCTTGGGAACAAGATCCACTGTGCTCCCTCCAGAACCAGGGACACTCAAACTAGAACACAAGACTACCATTTTTAAGTCCACTGCCACACTAGTGATGTGGGTGGGGATAAGGTAAGTTAAAGTGACATAAAAGTTTCCTACTGTGTTGTAAGTTCTTTCTGGTCAGGCATTCACTTGGTCGCTGTAAACCTTGACTATTGCCCAGAGTTCCGGTAAGGTTGCTTCTGGCAGTTTTTACTAGATTTTTTCTTTTTTTAGTGTTTCTGAAGAGTTCTCCAGAGTTCCCTGCTCCATCACTTTTGTTGACAATACTCCCACAGCTACATTTGAAAACCAGGTTTCTTGTCTCTCTATTGATGTCCTAATACTACTTGTGAGAGATGGTGATTAGTTCACAAAGAAGTGATAATGATATCAATAATAGCTAATACTTATTACTTACCATATATTTGGCACTGTTCAGAGCAGTCATTATTTCATTGATCCCTCAAAACAACCCGGTGATTTATTGGAATTGTTATTATCTAATCTTCTATATAAGGAAATGGAGTCAGAAAGGTTTAGCAACATGTGCAGGTTCACATAAGCTTAGGACCCTGGCTGTAGAACCTAAGCTTGTAGTCTTGATTTAGACTACCTCTGCAGAAGGTCTTACTGAATAAGTTAGGAGCTGACCAAACTCTGCTCTAAAACTAGACACAGAAATAATGACAAACAGCTGAATACCACCAGAACATTCTATGTTGAACATTTCCGAGGTCTTATTTCTAAAGGCACATTTTTCTATAGGATTTATAGTATGCTGATTACTGTTTTTCTTTTCTCATTTCAGGTCATCAAGAAAATAACAACTTCTGTTCAGTTAACATAAATATTGGTCCAGGTGACTGTGAATGGTTTGTTGTCCCTGAAGGTTATTGGGGTGTTCTGAATGACTTCTGTGAAAAGTAGGTTTCCAAACTAAATTTTCTTTAAACGTAATTACTCAAAAACAATAATTGTAAAGGACAGCTTACTAACCTGGATATCCTAATGTATGTAGCCAGTATTCACTTAACCATTCAGCAAAAAATTCATTTAAATTGATTTGATTCCAAGTCTATTCCTTTGCATTACTGAGAATACTTTAAGAAAGATGCCTTGAAACTACTCCATGCGGTAGTAACAGCCTTGAATTTGGAAGATAGGAAGGTTGAGTTGTTTATTAGGTTAATTGAACAATTGATACATAAATACTTTTTCATGTGGGAGATCTATATTCCAAGAAAAATTATTTTACTATGAATGGTTTTAGAAGTGGAAGGAATTCTATAATAGAGCCCCTTCATAGGTTGTTAATAACTCAAGTTTGAGCATATTACTCTTTGTCATATCACCATGATATAAATCCTTTTTTTTAAAACTACACTGGCAACTATTCCTATAAAATAATTTTACAAAGTTTAATCAACTACTTCAGATTTTATTTTCTCTGTTTGAAGGAACTCACCTAGTAGAAGTATTCCTTTCCTTAAGGTCCTAGAAATAGCCTTCCTTTATTTCTTTATCTTGTGTTAAAGAGTACCTCAGAATTATTTTCATTGGTTTAAACTTAATTATTTGTCTAAATGGAAACTTTCTCTCTCTCTCTCTCTTTTTTTTTTTTTTGGAAAGTACTCCATTATGTAAGCGTTGATATTTTCCTTTAGTAATAACACTGGAAAATTATTATGGTTAAAAACATAAATTATACATATATATGGTGTTATTCTCCCCACCCCAAGAAAGTAAAGGGGGAACCACCAGAAACATTTACATTATGAGAGACTCTGAAACCTAATTATACACATACTCCACATACTAACTTAGAATTTTTTTATCTTGGGTTACGGGATCTTTGCTGTAAACATCTTTCTTGGTTTAGTAACAAGTGTAAATATAGTTACCAAAAACCCCCACACTAATCCAAAATTTCCTTATATACAAGCAAAAGATAATTACCTTTCATTGTTTTTACTGTTTAATACACAGATTTCCTTTCATATAAGAAAGCCAAAGATGGGGGCGCCTGGGTGGCTCAGTTGGTTAAGCGACTGCCTTTGGCTCAGGTCATGATCCTGGAGTCCCGGGATCGAGTCCCGCATCGGGCTCCCAGCTCGGCGGGGAGCCTGCTTCTCCCTCTGACCCTCTCCTCTTTCATGCTGTTTCTCTCTCGCTCGCTCTCCAATAAATAAAATCTTAAAAAAAAAAAAAAAAAAAAGCCAAAGATGTGAAATTTTAAAGTTTCAAATGCTCTAATGAAATAACCTGATCTACTTTAATCTATGCTTACTTTTATGGACCAGCAGTCCGGTGGTAGCAGAGAAAGAGCAGTGTCATGTAGGAAATCTCCATTGTTCTACAGAAAGATCTGCCTTTCTTTCTTTCTTTCCTTCTTTTCTTTCTTTAGTTTCTTTTGATTTTATTTATTTATTTGAGAGAGCTTGTGAGAGGGGAGGGTCAGAGGGAGAAGCAGACTCCCTGCTGAGCAGGGAGCCTGATGTGGGACTCGATCCTGGGACTCCGGTATCATGACGTGAGCCAAAGGCAGTCGCTTAACCAGCTGAGCCACCCAGGCGCCCAAGATTTGTATTTCTTAAACTTTGAGATAGTAGTATATTTTTACAACCACAGTACACTAATCCTTGTTCATTATTTCTGAGTAGAGATTGGCTCTCTTCAGGATTTAGTTTTTCTTTCCTACCTAATGCGGAGGTAATCTGGGAACAAAGATAAATAGAAGAGGCAGGTGATGTCTAAAAAGCGTGAACTTGGGGATAATAAAAATATCAAAAGTATGAAGGGTTAGGTAAATTTAAGCTGCAGAAATAACACTTGCTACCCCAGCATTTCAGTGTAATTTTGTTTCACATAAGGATTGTTGCTTTTGATACTGACTGATAGTGACCCTGTCTGTAGTTTTTGTTAGGACTTTAAACAGTATCTGTCTTGAAATAACCATTCACTTGAATATATGATAAAAAAGATGCTTGCTTTTTTGGGGTAACTTTAATTTTTTTTTTTAACTTAGTTGTTGATTATTTGGTGGTCTTGCTTACTTGATTGCTTGCTTGCTTTTGGATAGAAAGGTTCCTCCAATGTTATGATGGCAACACATGGGTGAAGTAGGGATAGAATTTGTGTTTGTAACCATATTTTGCTTCATAGGCAAGTTTTTCTGGACTGTGTCTACTGAGCCTTATTACAGACAGTAAGCCCATCCATATCCCCTTGCAGTTAGGCTACCATTGGCAGTCTTCTAGACTTTGAAGAGCAGCCTTGCATTTTTTTAAGGAAAAAAAATAAGGCAAAGATTCCATCTAAATCAGCTGTTGGTGAGATTTTTCCAGAAAGGGCCAGATAATAAATATTTTAGGCTTTGCAGGTCATATGGTCTCTGTCACAGCTGTGTCACTGTGGTACATACGCAGTCATGTATAATAATACGTAAATGAATGGGCATGGCTATGGTCTAATAAAAGTTCTATTTACAAAAATAGGTGAGCTGGATTTGGCTCATGGGCCATAGTTTGCCAGCCCTTGATCTAAACAAATAAATTTAAACCAAAGAGAATAATTTCAAGGTACACTTTATTGTATCCTTTGGCACAGGACAAAAGTAAAGACTACTTCTTAGATCATAAGGAAAGGAACATTTCCATTCTGCAAGTTCTTCCTTCCCCAAAATGTAGCTTATTGAATTTTATAAACTTCTCTTGTAGGAAAAGTTGCTATGCGGTTTAAAAAATACTTCATATTATATCATGATGAAGTAGAAAAAGAAGAAGCCAGATTTTATTTTTATTTTTTATTTTTTATTTTTT